TATGCTTTTTTAAAGGGGGGAGGGGGGCATGTTGCAGCCGGCCAAAATAAAAATCCGACATTTACACAGTCTATGACGAAAGCACTAGTCATGCGTCCTTAAGTCCTCAGACTTCTCTGTCTACACCGCAAGAGTGGTATATGCGGGAGTAATGCTTGGGTAATGACGACTGTTAGTGAGGCTCTATATTTACCGTTTGACATTGCACTTTAGTGACAGGCATTTGAGTTTATTTCTGCTACGCCGAGACTCGAAAGCCAAGCCACAAAAAGTGTTACGAATCTTTACGAAGGAAAGACGATAGAAAAAACACTTAAATCGTTTCTTAAACTATTGTTTGCATTAGTTTGTTGAGTTTCAGAAAGGTCGGGTGATTGATTTTCGTCGCAGCAAAATATTTCTGGTTGAAATTTGTTTGAGAAGTCAGAGAGGTAATCAAGAATGTTTTCCAGGAATGATAGAGTTGGAAAAGAAAGGCGAAATAAAGTTTTAGTGTGAATGCGTGTCGAAGACGGCGAATAATTGTGAGAGCTTCCTTCGAAGTTGGAGTGCACCTCCCGGAGAGTCGAGGAACCATCAGTAAGACGTACAAGTAAGTCAGATTTGTAAAACGGATGTGCACGCGAAACTCAAGTTCTGGAACAAGACTAGAGTCCGGATATGGATGAACAACCATAATTTTTTTGGGCGGAGTTTTACATCCCGTTGTCGTTAATAATAATAATAATAATAATAATAATAATAATAATAATAATAAGAAGAAGAAGAAGAAGAAGAAGAAAGGTTTGAACAGCGGGAGAAAAATATACAGGAACATAAAATGTCCCTCCAGAATACAAAATCTAAGTCACCGTCATCGTAGTCATCTGTTTGCTTATCTATTCTGCTGTACGAGAATATAATTTCTCGATATTCAAATTCTTTAACTAGGTCCTAATTTAATAGGTCTAGTCTTTAGCAACTTTGGATCTTTTCTCAGAGGCCACCGCGGCGTGGTGGGGAATGAACAGGCAGACAGACTGGCTAGATCTGCACTGCTGGGTGGTGAAATTATACCTGACAAGGCAGATGTGGTCAGAGCCCTTTGGGAACAAGTAACGAAGTCAGAAGAGAAACTAGGTTATTATGGGCTGGAGAGGAAGATGCACATATGTGGGACCAGAGGGTTCACCCGGCACTCTACGCTCAGAGGAAAGGCAAACGAGCATACAACCAGACTACGACCGGCACCATTAGTATTGGAACTCTGCCATGGCTGCTGAGGATGGGGACGGAGCGCAAATTGGAATGCCCCGAGTGCTGTGATGTCAATTCTTGACTCCAACTCAACTGTAGCAAGACGCAGTACAGTCTTCAAGTGTTTCGGTACCTTTTAGTGTAGAGAAGCTGCGTAGACAAACATGTTGTACCCAAGTAAGTTATAGGCAGTCAGTATACTAGTGAGACATTTTTTGAAGGCGGGAACAAAATTTAAAAAAATCAAACAAATTAACAATTGACCTTCCCAAACATGCCCTCCTATTGTCTTCAATCTTCAACAGTGTCTCAGTTTGTCACTGCCACAGTCCGTCCATTCTGACACGCTGTCTGTCTGGTACTACTACTATTGTCTCTCTTTCGCCGCTTGCCTTCTCGTGCTGTCATGATTAATTAACTGTATAATGTTCACCGGTTTTAGCTCCTCGCTGTGACACTGCTGTGTGTGGGAATCTGCTTAGGGAAGTATGACAGGGGCGTATTTGTTTCGGCGTATTTGTTTCAATCTCTCGTTGTAAGCATGTATCTGTAGATAGTTAGATGGTCGTTGGACTGATAGATGGTGTGTAGATGGATGGTTGGATAGATAAGACAGGTAGAAAGAAAGACAGATTTGATTTGATTGATTTGATTCAAGAACCGACATCTCAGCACTCGGGGCATTCTCATAAGCGCTCCGTCCCCATCTTCAGCAGCCAGCGAAGAGTTCCGATACTTATGGTGCCAGTAGCATTCTGATTAAACGTCCGTCTTGCCTTTCCTCTGAGCCTCGAGCATTTGCCAGAACCTCTCGTCACTCCCCCCCTGCATCAGTCTCACCAGACTGGTGATCCATCTGCTCCTCCGAACTGTAACGCACTCCCACAAGGAACTCACCACGTCTGCCTTATCATGCATCAGTATTCCACCAAGCTGTGCCAGTCTGTCCGCCTGTTCATTTCCCAACAGTCCGGCGAGCCCTGGTGAAAAAGTCCAGACAATCCTCCTCACCGTGTCCTCCGCAGCGAGGCATGCCACTTTGCACGAAGCATGCCTGTCCTGATCTTCATCAGCATGCTTTCTGAGTCAGTAACAATCACGATGGGTGTGTGTGCGTCGTGTTTTCTAGCCAGCGGAAAGCTGCAGTGACCGCCTCCACCTCAATTCTTAAGCCGGATGTTGGGGTATCATATGCTAGGCTCCAAACGTCGACCATTAACTTTTGCTAAGAAACCCCAAGCACTTCTTTTGCCTTTTGACACTTAACAGGAAGACTCATTAGCCAGGAAAGAGTTTCCATTAGAATGGTGCTAGTTGCAATCTGATATAAATTACCACTGGCTTTTGTTTGCGCAGTTAGCTACTTTATTCAATAAACGGACGTGGCGAGGGCTCTCTGTGATCAGATGAGTTGAGCTGAGTCAAGAATTGACATCACTGCACTCTGGGCATTCCCATGCGTGCCCCGTCCTCATCTTCAGCAGCCAGCACAGAGTTCCAGTACTGATGGTACAGGTCACAATCTGGCTATATGCCCGTCTTGCCTTTACTCTGAGTGTAGTAAGCCGGCTAGACCCTCTGGTTACACCCAGGTGCCTCATTCTCCCCAGGCTATTATAATCTTGTTTCTCTACTGATTCTGTTGCTTGTTCCCAGAGGGCCTTAACCACATCTGCCTTGTCATGTATCAGTTGACCACCCAGTGGAGCAGATCCAGCCGGAGGAACAGTGCAGTACAACAGACAGCGTGTGCATGCCTTGACAGTGACTAGAGTTCTACACGATATCTAACAGTGTAGGGGGAAACATAAGCTGACTGTTAATCAGGCTGCAGCCGGTGCTGGGGGAGCGGCTGGCCGAACGGTTAGAACACTGGGCTCTCACGCTGAAGACCCGGATTCGAATCCTCGGTAAGGCTGGGGATATTTTTCTGTCGAGGGCAAAATAAAATCCTCACCTGCACAGTCGTGGCGACAGCACTACTCATGCGGCCGTAAATCCCCAGGTTCAAGGACACCCTTTCCTACACCGCAAAAGTGGTATCACAAAGACAGCCATTGGCAGTTTGGCAACAGGTACTTTTAGCATGTTGTCTCTGTTGGCTACTGAGGCAAGAGACGGGGTACAACTTATAACTGTTTGTACCAGCGGCGGTCCAGACGTGTCTGTTATTTCCTGAATTCATCCCGTTCAATGTTCATCAGTTTCCGCAAGCATGTGTTGTCAAATGCACTTAACATTCGTTCTATATCTTACGGAGTGGGAGTTTCAAAACGGCTCTGTGTGCCTGATGCGAGCGTGAACAGTCTGTCACAGAAGTCGTCACGTCATTTTGACATTCTTACTCCGCCCATTCATTAGCTGGACTGGCAGGTGTGCGTCAGCATACTAGACTTTCATTCGCTGATTAATTTCTGTATGTTTCATGACTAAACTAATTCAAAAAACAAATAACAACAACCACCACCGAATAACACAGCGTTGCCCCTCTTTAGTGCCTGTCAGCAGTGGCGCGGCCATCTTGAAACATTTATTATAACGTCACAGTGTTTGCCTGCACCGTGATATCACGTTCTTAACACTCTTGACATCTTTAATAATTATAGGATACAAAATAAAAACATTGTTATTATAATGAGTTTTCACAAGAAAGCTCCTTGGTATGTTCTTTTGAGTACCGTATTTTAGCGCCATTTATGTTAAGAATTAAAAACTGACTCTATGTATCAAAGCCACTTAGTGGCTGTCCCAAAATGTACGAACGATTGAAAAATGGCGCCATCGATTAATCTATCGCTCTTCTTCTTTTAAAACACATTTTACACAGCATTAAGATCTATACGCTGTGTGCGACGACATATTAACATTGGCCAGACGCTGAGATTTGATCTACAGAAACGCTGGCATTGAGCGAGAATTTGTGTGTGTGGGAATTTCTCTGTCGGTATTTGAAAAATAGGAGCATGATTTCGTTTGGCATGGTCTTATTTCTTGGCTCTGGCAGGTTTTAGCAGCCCCTCAACGTGAAGTTTGTTTAATGTATTGTTTTACCAGGTTGGTTCCTGAGCCATCTGTCGAAAGGAAAAGATCTAATAGACAAACTGCATGTTTACTAGCATGTCGTAAAAAGCCACTAATTAATGGTTTGTTGACATCCAGAGAGTTAGATCGAAAGGCGCAGACATAGTAGCAAGGCAGTAAATTAGAACACGACATACTAGTCGTAATTGTAGGGTAGAGAGGAAGAAAACACCACACATTAAACCACATTTGTCTGCTCTCCTAGAATGAACGAAAGTATGAAGAATGGAGCCGTTGATCAATAACCTTTGTGTTTAACTCAAGTTGATCTTGTATCTAACGGCAGTTAATGTCTCCAGGCCGTGGTCTGTGTGATGGAGACGCCGACTGGAAACTCAGCTGTTGGTGTGAAAATCTTTCTTTCATTGCAAGAAATGTATTGCGTCAAAGAGTTGTTTGTTGTTTGTTTGTTTTAGTATCCAGAAGCCATGAGTTGTTAACCCTTAGGTTCGGTATTATGGATATCGCAACCTTTCGGTCTTAATTCCATTGTAAATACCATAAAACTGGGAGAAATGTGGCTTTTCTGCCTACCCCGTGAGTGAACCCGGACCACAAGGAGTTCTTCACCCGGTCACCGTTCAATCCGGTTTAGCCAACTATGCTGGAGAGCCGGGCTGCGTCAAAGAGAAGATATATATAAATATGATGCATATCTGATTTTCTGTCTTGTTTCTTTGCAGACGGAGTCAGAGCCAGACACACTGGTCCTGCCTGTGCTCAACATCCCAAGAACACTCTTCAGACTAAGACTAGAGATCCTCTACCTGCTAGAAAAGCACAACATCGTCCCAGAGGACCTCATCTTCGTGGATGAGCTGGATCTGCAGGCCTTGACCCAGGCCGAGGACGTGGCCCTGTCCGTGACGCTGGTGGATCATCACGTACCCAGCAAAAGCCAGGAGTGCTTGAGGGATTTTATTGTGGAGGTTCTGGACCACAGGCCTCTGGCTGGAGTGTTACCAGAAAGGTTTGTTTCCGTAGTTGCGTGAATACATCTCTGTGGGGTAATAAACATGCTGCATAATTCAGAAAATATCTGCTTTACTTCCAGCAGCAGGGGATTTGTCATTTGCGTTGATTTCGACAAAGTTATGGAGCACTAGCTGTTAAGAAAGCAATGGCAAACTGCTAAGTGACAATTTGCCTTTGAGAACCAAACAGAAAAAAAGGGCTGGTGTTGGTTGTACAGCTTACTTTAATAAGTACTTTGGTAATTGGCTGTTACATGTGATGTATCAGTGTTACCTTGTTAGATCATCATTATTGTCCTGTTGTGTCATTTCATGTCACACAGGACTCACAGTCTATTTCCCCATTCTATTATATCCTGTGCAATCAGTTCAATATGAGGGATGGAATCCAGTCCAGCAGCTTTGGCCTCCTTCATCAGCGTTCATTTCAGGGTTTCTTTTGGGCGCCCTCACCCCATTAATTCCTTTATTTCCAATTTTAGTGCCTGTTTGGGGATTCTCAGCTGGTTTATTCTCGGGATGTGTCCGTTGTAGCACTTTCATGGCAAGAACCAAAGGGGAAGTCATCAAAGAAAACAGTGGATCTTTTGCTTCTACTACCAGCAGCACGACAATGGAGGTCCTTGCTGTGACAAAGGTCCTAGAATGGCTGAAAACTCAGGAGTTCACCAATGCATGTTTGCTCAGCGACTGTGTGAGCATCTACAGAAGATCAAGGCGGGGTGCATACAGAGACAGTGGCTCCATCTGTTACAGCACACAGTGTTTCACAAAATGCACCTTCATTTTTTGTCCTAGGACATGCTGGTGTGAAAGGCAATGAGAGAGCAGACCCTCTAACCAGCAGTGCTTCTATCAGGAGTTAGCCTTCTATGGACAGGAGAGACATCATCAATGCCATACGAGAGACTAAAGGCTGTAAGGCTTTCCGTTTCGTGGTAAATGATTTGTCACTGAATAGACTGCATACCCTGGGTGTACCAGCTTGAGCTATGAGACAGGAGAACCATGCGGGAGCCACCCATCATTACGTCAACCAGAACAGAATGGGAGTTGTTGGTCTGAAAACACTTGCAGACGTACTCAGGATGAGATTGGAGCACTTATGGTCATGTCCGACGTGCAATGAGGATGATCTTTAAAATGAACAATATACGGCTTATGACCTGTTATTGGAAAAGGAACTTGGTCACAAGCTGCGGGGACCCTGTGGCTTGCTTGGAAAGAACAAAAGTTGGTCAATAGACTTAACAATCAGATCGGGAAAGCGAGAGCCTGTAAGAGAAAGCTTACATTGAATGAAGCTGAGAGAAACAAGAGATGCTAGCGAGGAATAATAACCAGGCATTTCTCTGTTTTTCTTCTTCTCCTCTTACCTCACCTTCTTTTTGGTTTCTTCTTTTCTGTCCTCTTCTTTACCTCCTCCTTTTCTTTCTACTTTTGATTCTTCTTTGTCCTCTTTTCTTTCTTGTCCTCATCCTCACACTTCTGTCTTCTTTGTTGTCACCTTTATTTCCCTGCTCTTTTTCAACATTGAATAGATAACAGAAGTATCAGAATATACACTCAGACATATTCGTGCATCTATACTCACAGGTTCAGAGGTATTGTAGGCAGTCATAAAAATACAATACAGATGTAAGTTAATGGTATTCTTCATGATTAATAACCATTGATCCTTGTGCGTGTTGTGTGAAGGCAATTTCCCACACACCCCACTCTGTCCGGTGTTGATCTGGCAAGATATAACATTGACAGACTGAAACAGGAGGAGATAATCAATGTGCTGGTATGTTCAACCATTGGTGGCAAAGATCTGAGAACAAACAAGAGTATATGTTGGCAGTAAATGTAAGGAATTTATACACAGGTATTGATTAAAACACATAGAAGTAGAGGATACAAACAGAGAGAAGAGAAAACACTGGACAGTAGAGTAAGTAAAGACTGTCGGAATACAGTGAAACCTCGAGATATGAATTTTATCCATTCCATGACTGAACTTTATGGTGAATAACTTGTATCCTGAAAGTATTTTTCCCATTGAACTTATATAAATAATTTTTATTTGTTCCAGCCCTCCAAAAATCAAAATATAAAATGACGGATTTTGTGTTGTTGAGAAGAATATGTGTGGTAATGCTTTTTTGCAAGCAGCGGCCATGATACTACTTTCCATAATCAAGTACCTTGTCCACTGGTTCACATCCTCCTGTGGCAACATATAACCTAACCTTAATCCATTCAAAAGCTATAAAGATGCTGTCGGTAACAGAGAATTCTTGTCTCTCCTGGATTTTGTCTTGTATTCTGGAGCAAAACAGCTTGCGAACATGTCCTGCAAAACTTTTAGCCAGATACACTAGTTTACTGAGGTTCCGCTTTATCAGGAATCACATTTCCCACTCCTAAATAAAAAAAAATGAAAATAAAAACATAAACAGTTAGAAGGTAGATAGTTAACTGTACATTGAATATGATTGATGTTAATAGTTTTTAATTATTCTCCATTGTTCACCTTTAAAAGGCTGGTTGGTATTTTGTATTGTGGTTTACAGCTAGGCCACAATTCTGTGCCTTTTAACCAACACATGTGATTCAGAAAACCCTTAATTAGTCGGCTTTTGCAACATCCTTGCTAAGGGTTAGTCTGCCTCCGTTTACCACTGGGGGGGGGTCCTTTGAGAATGTAGGGCTGCAGGGATAAATCAGTCATCAGGGACTAAACAGGTTAGGATTTTTTCATCTTTCAATTCTCAAGGAACAGGTGATAGAAAAAGTGTACTGGTCACTAAAATTCACTATGCTGGCTAGAGGATGTCTCTAAAGGCACAAGGGATTGGACAGCCTGCTCAGTATAGGTATTGCTTTCACAGAAAGAAATCGCTGCCTACTTTGAGTCTTTGCAAAGAATAGTTGTGTCTGCTGTGCAAAAGTATTTGGAAGTGGTAGAGATGTGGTTAATAGATGAATTATGGGAGTACCCCTGGAAAGATAGAAAGAGTAATGAAGTTGCTTTGAAAGAAACTGACTCACAAAGGGAAACTGACTGACCACATCAAAAGGAGACAGACTACATTCTTTGGTCATGTCATAAGAAGGAGAAAACTGGAGCTCATTGTGACTGTGGGAAAGCTGGAGGGGGGATAAGGTAGAGGGAGACTGAGAGAGAAGATGCTGGACAGTTTTACATCTTGGCACAGAAGTTCGTCTGTGTCAGGTCAAGAGACAAAAGGTTGTGGACAGACATGATTACCAACACCACACAGCATGGACTGTAAGAAGAAGACGAAGGAACAGTGGGTCTGTTCTCCTTTCTTTTTACCCCCTTCCTCCCATGAGGCCCCAGAACAAACACACACAGGAAAGTTATTATTTTTAAACAGTCCCAAATGTTTTTTGTATTTTGTTCAGTTGGAATGCAGAGATTGAGCGTGTCGGCTCCTGTTGCACCTTGGTGGCCAGGAAAATGTTGGCATCAGAGGCTTTCAGCTTGGACTCAGTTTTGGCTGAATTACTTTTGGGTAAGTGTTTAGTTGATGTCTGTAGGTTCGGGGTTATGAATGCAGATTGATAATTGTGACATAACCAGGTTCAAAGCAGCTGCTGTCTCTTCATTACTGTCTGTCTGTGCTCTTTATCTATCTGTCTGTCTTTTTGTCTTTGTCACTGTCTCTTTGAGGATGTCTCATTGTCCATCTGTCTGTTTTTTGGTATTTGTTTTTGTTAGGGCTGTACCGAATAGTAATTTTTACTATTCAGCCGAATATGAATAGCTGACACACCTCCATGCCATGCAACAAAACTGTCAAGAATCTTCTCTCGTTGTCTTCCTCTATCCCTCCTTCCACAGATCTTTCCAGTGGTCACCACATGTTCCATTTTCCCTCATCTTATAACATGGCTGAAAAATGATGACTCTCCTTCTGATGTCTGTGAGTAGTTGTCTTCGGGCTCCCGCCTCTATAAAAACCTTTTTGATAGCTCTTTTTGGCTGTCCAAGGTATTCTAAGCATTATTCTGTAAAACCACATTCTCTGAGGCCTCAAGAAATTCGTTTGGCCTGCCTACCGATTGTCCAGGACTTACAGCCATATGTTAAAACTTGATGTATGTAGCAAGCAAGAATTCTTTTTCTAACCTTCAATGACAAAGATATATTGCATAAGATGTTCTTCATTTTATAAAATGCAGTTTTTGCCTGTCCTTTTCTGTTTATTCTTTCAGTAATGCATCTTCAAACTGATGTTATCCATGTACCAAAATACTTAAATTTCTGTACTTGTCCCAAAATAAAACCATTGACTTTTATTACACATTTAGGAATAATTATTTTCTTTGATACCACCATTACTTCTGTCTTCCCACTATTGAAACTGAGGCCGGCCCATTCTTCCACTTTCGTGCATAAAATAGATTTAAAAAAAAACATAACAATGTCAAATGTACGCTGAAATTTTACTTCACAAAATGTAATACAGAATAGTTAACATTTAAAAACATTTCATGTTTTGCATCCTTCAGTCAGTCAGTCTGTGGTAACTAATACCTAGGAATGAAAATATTCTTAGTTTCATAACAAGTAACTAAACTTAAAGCTCTTGATAGAGCCCATCAACGAACATAACATCTCCCCCCGACACTTCGATGAGGTACAAGGTGGAGAGAAGAAGAAGAAGAAGAGGAAGAAGAAGACTAAACTTAAATTGTCACTGACAGCTTAGTTAATCCATTAAAGCGGCATTAGCTTTCAAAAACGTTGCATGTTGTCAACATTAAGGTAGCTTCTTGTCTCACTGAAGGTATTTCCAGCTGTACTAAACAAACGTTCACTTGGTACGCTCGTAGGTGGTGCACAAAGATAACGCTTGGCAGTTTGAACGAGGGTGGGAAATCTTGATATGTTTATTTTCCACCAGTCCAGAAGCAGGTGTAAGGCAACGACTATTCGTATTCGACCCGACCGCAACTATTCTGCCGAATACCAAATAGTTATTAGGTCCACTATTCTGCCCCGAAGCGAATGCGAAGCGAATATTTGGTACAGCCCTAGTTTTTTGTACATTTCTCTGGCTTTATTGTTCTTTTTCTTTGTTATTCTCTGTATCTTTATCTCTTTGTATATCTGTGTATGTTTTCCTTCAATGTAACTCCCATCTTCTGTGATCTTCAGCGACCATCACAGTGGACACAGGCAACATCTCGGCAGTGGACAAAAAAGGCTCCCTGGCACATCTTTTTGTCTTTGTTGCTGTCTTTATGGCTCTGTCTCCTTGACCGTCTGCCTGTCTCTTTCTTTTTTCTGTCTACATTTCTGTCTTTATCACTCCTTCTCTTTGTTATTCTCTGTCTCTTTCTCTTTGTATATTTATGTCTCTCTCTCTCTCTTTCTCTGTTCTCCATCTGTGCATTTGTCACTCCATTTCTGTGCCTCTCTCTCTTCCTCTTCATTTCTCTGTCTCTGTCTCTCTCTCTCTCTCTCTCTCTCTCTCTCTCTGTCTCTCTCTCTCTGTCTCTCTCTCTCTCTCTCTCTCTCTCTCTGTCTCTCACTTTCTCTCTTACTCTCTCTCTCTCTCTCTCTCTCTCTCTCTCTCTCTCTCTCTTTATCACTATCTTTATGCCCTCATCCTTGCTCCCACTCTGCCCCCACCCCAGTGTAATCCCCATCTTCTGTGCTTTCCAGGGACCATCCTGATGGACACAGGCAACATGTCAGCCATGGACAAAGTGGGCACCCCGGCAGACCTTGAAGTGATCTCCCAGCTCAAGGCCTATGTGACACCAGGGACAGCAGATGTCATCTATGAAGGAATCAGGAATGCCAAGGCTGACTTGTCTTGTGAGTATCATACAGAAGGTGTCATCGCCAGATTTGTCTTTGTTGTTGCTCTTGTGAGTATCATACAGAAGGTGTCATCGCCAGATTTGTCTTTGTTGTTGCTCTTGTGAGTATCATACAGAAGGTGTCATCGCCAGATTTGTCTTTGTTGTTGCTCTTCTGAGTATCATACAGAAGGTATCTTTGTCAGATTTGTCTTTCTTGTTGCTGTTGTGAGTATCATTCAGAAGGTATCTTCGTCAGATTTGTCTTTCTTGTTGCTGTTGTGAGTATCATTCAGGAGGTGTCTTCGCCAGATTTGTCTTTGTTGTTGCTCTTGTGAGTATCATACAGGAGGTGTCCTCACCAGATTTGTCTTTGTTGTTGCTGTTGTGAGTATCATACAGGAGGTGTCCTCACCAGATTTGTCTTTGTTGTTGCTCTTGTAAGTATCATACAGAAGGTGTCCTCACCAGATTTGTCTTTGTTGTTGCTCTTGTAAGTATCATACAGGAGGTGTCATCGCCAGATTTGTCTTTGTTGTTGCTCTTGTAAGTATCATACAGGAGGTGTCCTCACCAGATTTGTCTTTGTTGTTGCTCTTGTGAGTATCATACAGGAGGTGTCCTCGCAAGATTTGTCTTTGTTGTTTCTCTTGAAGCTTTTATATCTGTTGTTGTTATTGTTATCATCGTTGTTTTAGTTGTTATCCTTGTCATCTTTGTTGTTATTATCAATGTTTTCAGTGGCGTTATAATATGGGCTATAATGTTGTGTGTGTGTATATGCGTGCATGCATGCAAAGAGCTTTTGATGCAATGTATATACAGTTATAACAACATGTTTTATATGTTTGTGATGAGTATCTTATAATCTACTGTAAAAAAAAGACACTGCTATTAATGCGTGTATTAACAACTCTCATGGTGTAAGTGGGAGGAAAGGTCAAGGAAGGGTTTTTTAGCCTGCAAATTTAGACCCGCATGGCTAGTGCTGTTGGCACAGATTATGCAAGTCAGGATTTTATTTTAGCCCCAACCCCCCCCCCCCCCCCCCCCCAGAAAAGTATCCCCAACTTTACTAAGGATACGAACTCAGGTCTCCTAAAAAAAAAAACTTTGAGCCCACCAGGAGTTGAACCTGAAACCTTCTTATCTGTAGTTGTTATAAGGAAAAAAAATAAATGACCCTGTTCTCAGCATCATGCCGGCCATCTTTACTTCCCAGGACTCCACCATTCAAGGTTGGGTTGATCAGGAAGCCATGATCATTAAAAAACAAAAGTGTGGTACAGTCGGGACCCTAACCCATGACCTTTCAACCCACAGTTGAGCATCTAGCCGCTACACCACAACAGCTCCCGTAATAATAATCACTGCTATAATTGTATTTTTTCTGTTTCCTTGTCATCATTGCCACTGTACTTATTGCTTTTGTTACTGTTTGCTGTTAACACTGTATTGTTAATATATATATATATATCTTAATATAATCATGTTGTTGTTGCTGTTCTTGTTATCACAGTTTTCAAACTACTACTGGATCCAGTTATGTGAAAGCATTCAAAATGCTAGCAGTGGTGGTAATGTTAGAGGCATGTATGAGGGGATAAAGAAGGGCCATTGGCCTAACTATTAACTAAAGTGAACCACTAAAGTGTTTGAACAGGGGAGAATACTACTGACAAGAAGAAGCAACTAGGCTTATGGGTGGCAGATTATCTGGGGCTTTATTCGATTGGGACTAAATTAACAGATGGTGCTCTTAATACTGTGAAGACACTACCAGCTTTTGGCTATCTGAACACATTTCCAACAATTTTAAAAGTTAAGAATGCTATTGATGAACTGGATTCGGGGAAGGCCCCCACTCAGAGGGAGGAGCTGCAATGTTTACTGTCTGCCTTTGCTGAGGCATGCTATGAATTTGGACTAACAATCAGTAAGAAAAAAAAAAAGACAAAGGTTATGGAGCAAGGTGTTAATGATAGACCTGCAGCCTAGATTGATAGTGAAGAGCTGGAGGCAGTTGACCATTTTACCTATCTGGGATCCAGAGGAAATAATAAACTATCGCTGGACCAAGAAATCAACATCAAGTTAAGTAAGGCAGCAACAACAGTAAGCAGATTAACAAAAAGAGTTCATTACTTTTTACTTCTAGAGGTCCAGCTGTGTAAACAGATCCAGGGGAGGGAGATGTTTTGAAAGGAGGATCCATTCTAAATTTGTACTTGTTTGTCTTCCACAACAGCACTGACAGTGTTGGAGATGCTGTACAAGGATCTGAAAGTCCTGCACGGGACTCACATCACCGTAGCTATGTCATCACTGACTGCAAAACTGGAGGTTAGTGCGTCTCTTCACTAGTCTGGATGTTCATCATCGTGATCTTCGTTTTCCACATTTGTCCAGTCTTAATGTTCATCATCGTAATCTTTATTTTCTACATTTGTCCAGTCTTAATGTTCATCATCGTAATCTTCATTTTCCACATTTGTCCAGTCTTAATGTTCATCATCGTAATCTTCATTTTCCACATTTGTCCAGTCTTAATGTTTATCATCGTAATCTTCATTTTCCACATTTGTCCAGTCTTAATGTTTATCATCGTAATCTTCATTTTCCACATTTGTCCAGTCTTAATGTTTATCATCGTAATCTTCATTTTCCACATTTGTCCATTTTAATGTTTATCATCGTAATCTTCATTTTCCACATTTGTCCAGTCTTAATGTTTATCATCGTAATCTTCATTTTCCACATTTGTCCAGTCTGGATTCTGGGGTCCTCATGTTCTTTAAAAAAAAAAAAAGCATGTACCCAAAATTTGCGATGAAGAAGATCTTTAGAATAAACATTGAACCACTTATGACCTTTTACTGGAAAAGGAACTTGGTCACAAGTCAAAAAGAGCCTGTGGCTTCCATAGGGAGAAACAAAAGTTGGTCAATACATGCCTGTAAACCACAACACAACAAGCTAACTGCCTTTATAAGGGTGGGCACTAAAGAAAATGAAACAAGTGTTGTAATTCAGATGGCTTCTCTTTATTTAACTCTTTCGGTACCAGAAGGTTTCACAGGAGATTCCAAAGAGAAAACATAATGAAAAATACTGAATGCATTACATTCAAAGTGGCAGTATACACAATGGTAGTGACCTTTTGGGAAAGCCAGATTTCTTTAGTGTTTTCTGACCCAAAATTTTAAATAAAGATAAGAGAGTACATTGTGTCATGGAGGAGAATCAGGGGGTAGATTTATTAACAAATCAGGCATTGCTTGGGACTTAAAATGTTAATGTGCTGTGATTGTTTTGTGGAATATCTTTCAGTGGGTTCTGATGCTCCCTTTTGTAGAACAGAGACTAGACCCTCTTGCCACCCCCCCCCCCCCCCCCCCCCCCTTCCCCCCCCCCCTCAACAAGCATGTTTTAGGAGGCGATAAATGATATTTTTTTGGGTTTAAACTGGAATGGGCCTGAGAGGCAAGGAACCAACAACAGTCTCAAACAAATAAGCCAGATCAAGTTCTAGGTGAAGACAAAGGTCCAGGAGTCAATTAACAACCAGAACTTTCTGCGGAGTTTACAGCCGGTGAACGCAAAGAAACCTGAGAACAATGTAACTAGAATGTCCTTGCACTGGAATGCACAAGGGCATGGAAATGAAGGAAGACCAAAAAACATATGGGCAAGGGAGCTAGAAAGTGAAGTTACAAAGATGGGGAGGACAAAGGGAGAGTTGCATGCGATAGGGAGGGACAGAATGACTTGACTTGAGTTGGTTGAGCGCCCATGCTCTATTGGGGGTAAGAAAAGGCAGAAGAAGAATAAGAACGCAAAGAAGTGAAACAGAAGATGCAGTCTCCACTGCGAGGCCCCAGCTCTTGCACTGTGCAAGTCTCATACTGCAATGCTAGGGGTATGTTTTGGTAAGCCACATTGCTTCTGATGAACAGTAAGTTGTTACGACACAGAAGAGATGAATATTCAGTTACATGCTTTTATTCGTTGAATCACAACTTATCGTAGGCACACATTCTCCCGTCCTCGTGTTCGTTCTGCTAGGCTGATTCTGGCGGCCTGATCAAACTTCTCACACACTATTTCGATCCATCAACGTCTTTCGAATCATCCATCCATCCTTTAACGAAACCTTGTACTCGGTATTAAGACATGTAGGAAACATTCATATCTCTTCTCAAAACGTAACAAGTATTCACAATTCCTTCATTCTCCTCATGCGTCCATTCATACCACCTTTCGCAACCAGGTCCGAACTTCAATTGTTTTCCTACCGTCTCTCGGTTCACGTTTTTCGCTCCAGTCTCATGCTTTTCTTGTATCCCTTACTTCGCTCACCATGGGATACTCAAGACCCACTTATCTCGTTTTTTTCTTGTATCACTGGTATTTCGAACTTGTCCTTCCCATCGGGTACTCTCTGGGATTTCCCCGGGAATTCACAACATTACACATACCATGGGCTGAGAACCACTAGAATGGTTTCTTTCTGAACCACCCACCGCAGAAACTGAGCCCTGGTAAACACTGAAGATTGAATTGTGAAACTATATTGCTATCCTGCGGGCCACGGAACTATATGCTTTATTTATAATTTTAAAAAAAATAAAAAAAATAATGTGTTGGCATATAAAACAAATCTTGCCATGAGGCCTCACATGACATCCTCCTCCACCTGTTTTGTCATTATATGTCATGTAGAGTCAGCTCTGTGGCTAAGTCGATGCGAACGCTTCGTAATGCCGGGATGCCGGGCCATGGGCCTTGCGTTGGTTTCGACAGTGGTATCAAGAAAGCCGACCGTCCAGAAAGCAATGGCAAACTACTGGACGTAAATTTGCCTAGAAAAACCACACAACAGCCAGGGGCTGTTGGGTTTTGGTTTCTGCAACATCCTGTAAAGGATACGCACCTAACCTTTTGTCATGTAGGGCTGACAATGTAGTCCATTCCATTCTTTCTTGTGCAGTTCTCTCATTGTCATGGACAGAATCCAGTCCAGCATTCTTGGTCTCTCTCAACATTGTTTCCCTAATGTTTCTTTCCCATTTCATTGCTTGTTAAATGATTGTATGTTCATTTCTTCTTATGAGATGCCAGATATATTACCATCTTTGTTGTTGTATAATTGATGACACAAGCAGGTGTTCAGACGTTTCTCTTATTTTTCATTTTTAAAAAAAAGTTAATCGACTTCTTTGTTCAAATGTATCCTTACTTCAGGACGTCATGTCGCGGCCAGAGTTCGAGGACGATTGTGCAGCGTTCTGTTCTGCCTGCCATGCAGATGTTTTGATTATTATGACACTGTGGAAGGATGCAGGTGGCTTGTCCCATCGCAGGATTGCTGTCTTCTCTCAGAACAGGATTTACAGGGAGCAGGTAGGGTGGGTTTTTGCCTTAGCTTGGAAAGTTGAGACAGTTGGTCTTTATGAGCAAGATTGAGACAGTGGGTCTTATTGTGAAAGACTGAGACAATCAATTTTATTGTGAAAGATTGAGACAATGGATCCCATTGTGAAAGATTGAAACAATGGATCTTATTGTGAAAGATTGAGACAATGGATCCCATTGTGAAAGATTGAGACACTGGATCTTATTGTGAAAGATTGAGACAATGGATCTTATTGTGAAAGATTGAGACAATGGATCTTATTGTGAAAGATTGAGACAGTGGATCTTATTGTGAAAGATTGAGACAATGGATCTTATTGTGAAAGATTGAGACAATGGGTCTTATTGTGAAAGATTGAGACAATGGATCTTATTTTGAAAGATTGAGACAATGGGTCTTATTGTGAAAGATTGAGACAATGGATCTTATTGTGAAAGATTGAGACAGTGGATCTTATTGTGAAAGATTGAGACAATGGATCTTATTGTGAAAGATTGAGACAATGGGTCTTATTGTGAAAGATTGAGACAATGGATCCTATTGTGAAAGATTGCGACGATGGATCTTATTGTGAAAGACTGAGACAATGGATCTTATTATGAAAGATTGAGACAATCAATTTTATTGTGAAAGTTTGAGACAATGGATATTATTGTGAAAGATTGAAACAATGGATCTTATTGTGAAAGATTGAGACAATGGATCCCATTGTGAAAGATTGAAACAATGGATCTTATTGTGAAAGATTGAGACAATGGATCCCATTGTGAAAGATTGAAACAATGGATCTTATTGTGAAAGATTGAAACAATGGATCTTATTGTGAAAGATTGAGACAATGGATCTTATTGTGAAAGATTGAAACAGCTGATCTTATTGTGAAAGATTGAGACAATGGATCTTATTGTGAAAGATTGAGACAATATGTCCTGATGAGTCATTGAGTGAAATGTTGAGACAATGGGTCAAAGGGTGGAAGGTTGAGACAGTTGGTCTTAGCGTGGAAATTGAGACAGTGGGTCTTATTATGAAAAATTGAGACAGTGGGTCTTAGCGTGAAAGATTGAGACAGTGGGTCTTAATATGAAAGATTGAGACAGTGGATCTTAGCGTGGAAGATTGAGACAGTGGGTCTTATTATGAAAGATTGAGACAGTGGGTCTTATTATGAAAGATTGAGACAGTGGAGCTTAGTGTGGAAGATTGAGATAGTGGATCATAGTGTGGAAGGTTGAGACAGTGGATCTTACCATGAAAGGTTGAAGCCATTGGTTTTAGAGGGTTAAGTTGCCTTAGTTTAAAAAAAAATTAATGTAGTTGGTCTTAGTATAAAAGACTCTCACAATATAACATCACTTATTTCATTAGCTGGGGTGAAGCAACTGGACACTCACCTGTGGATCAGAAGGTCATGGGTTCAAGTCCTGGTAAAGACAGACTCTCCCCCCCCCCCCCCCCCCCCCCCCCCCCCCCCCCCTGCCCCCCCCCCCCCCCCCCCCCCCCATCAGTGACCTTGGCTCCCCGGTCATCATAGAATGGGTACCAGATACAGTCCTAAGAAGTAAAGACAGCTGGCATAAATACTGACCACATCCCCCAGCCGAGTGCTGATTCATAAAATATAGTTCTAGCCCTATATGCCAAATATGAATGAAAGCTACTTTAAGTAGCAAGTATTTCATTTTCTTGTTTAAAGGTGACCAGTCCAAACTTAGATAGAATGCCTTGTGACACCATACCTTACAAAGCATACATGGAAAGAGAAGAAGGACGTAGAGCACGGGGTAGACTAAGAACAAGATGGAAGGATAACATCAGAGAAACTCTACAACAGCACGATGTGCCTATGGTCGAGGCAGCCAGAAGAGCTAGAAACAGAACCTTATATCTCCCTCGACACCCACAGCGGTAAAAGAGGAAGTGAAGAAGAAGAAGAAGAAGAAGTCCAAATGTAAACAGAGGTTGCTAAGTTGATTTATATAAAGGCAGGGCACAGAAACATGCAGATAACTTGAAAATAATGACACTAACATTTTAAATAACATATTGGATTAGTTTCCAAATATACACCATACACAAAATATCGGTTAAAATAATTTTCATCAGCTTTTTGGAGGATCTTATTCTTCAACATGCTATTTTGTTGTATTGTATGTAGATTTACTGAGCCCCAAGTTGTGAAATTGTTAAGCCATTTGCCTCACGATCAAAAGATGGAAGTTTTGCATTAGTCCCAGGCAGTCATCATTAGAGCTTTGAAGTTTGTGCTTCAGGTGACTCTCGGCAGGTGCCAGGCCACCCTGCAGAACGAACGAACGAACGAACAAACAAACACAATTTATTTTCAAAGGGTTACAAATTGGGCATGCAGGTCCATCTGACATTCGGCCCTTCTAAGCACTCATTTTTCAGAGTACCAATATCTGTTATCTAACCGTCTGACATTCAGCCCTTCTAAGCTCTCATTTTTTAGAGTACCAATATCTGTTATCTAACCGTCTGACATTCGGCCCTTCTAAGCACTCATCTTTCAGAGTACCCATGCCTGTTATCTAACCGTCTGACATTCGGCCCTTCTAAGCACCCATTTTTCAGAGTACCAATGCCTGTTATCTAACCGTCTGACATTCGGCCCTTCTAAGCACCCATTTTTCAGAGTACCAATGCCTGTTATCTAACCGTCTGACATTCGGCCCTTCTAAGCACCCATTTTTCAGAGTACCAATGCCTGTTATTTAACCGTCTGACATTCGGCCCCTCTAAGCACCCATTTTTCAGAGTACCAATGCCTGTTATCTAACCGTCTGACATTCGGCCCTTCTAAGCACCTATTTTTCAGAGTACCAATGCCTGTTATCCAACCGTCTGACATTCGGCCCTTCTAAGCACTCATTTTTCAGAGTACCAATGCCTGTTATCAATAATGCATGTTATGCAGAGAGAGAACCTGGCAATAAAGTCCATCTTCTTGACTTCATTCATCTTCTTGTCTTCATCCATCTTCTTGACTTCATCCTCTTGACTTCATCCATCTTCTTGACTTCATCCATCTTCTTGACTTCATCCATCTTCTTGACTTCATCCATCTTCTTGACTTCATCCATCTTCTTGACTTCATCCATCTTCTTGACTTCATCTATCTTCTTGACTTCATCTATCTTCTTGACTTCATCCATCTTCTTGACTTTATCCAGATTTTCGTCTCCACATGGAGTTATGGGTCCTAACTGTGGGGGCCCCCCCACCCCCCAATTATTGTAAAAGGTGACTAATTTGGGGTTTTCTGAAATTGGATATGTTTGGCCAGAAGGTGCAAATGATGCAGTCTTGCTGTAAACTACAACATGCTAATTAAACATTCTAGTTTGGATGTAGAAGACAATCTAGATTTACTTAAATCTCATTTATGCAATGTAACATGATGTTATTATGTATGATGTTATGTATGATGTTATTATGTATGATGTTATGTATGATGTTGTTATGTATGATGTTATGAATGATGTCGTGTATGATGTTCTGACATGTGTTTCTTTTGTTTCTTCTTATCAGATAACTGACGTCCTTTTGAGTTCGGTGTCACCTAACCTTGAACTTGAACCCATGAACTCCTTCAGCCACATGGACAATATTTCAGCATTTTTCCAAAACAACGTCCAAGTTTTTCGTAAAGGTGTTGTTCCGCTTATTCAGGAATTCCTGGCAGGGGAGGAATCCACGCCAGATGAGAATCTCAATGCTGTGGATAACTTAGCCCAGCAGTATCCGGATTCACCCCTCGGATCGGATTTACTGAGTGAATTAGCCGATGCTTCTGAGGAGGAAGTGAGGAAGCATATCAATTTGGCCAAAGCTTTTCAAAGTGATCAGTTTAGAACATCACAGGATCGTTATGATTTAGCGGCCATTGGGACTGATCCGGTCATTTCTGCAAGTCTGAGTAGCGACAGTGAGTTCAGTCTTAGTGACAAAAAGAAAGAGAATGACGATGATGATAATGATACTGATGATGATGAGATTGAGAATAGAGTAGTGAAAGATACGAGTTATGAGTTCATCAGTGGTGCTAAAATGTCCAAAGATTTTTTTGTTAATGATAAAAGCGGTGCTGGAGATGGGGCTGATGTAGATGCCTTAGGAGATAACAAAGCTGCTGTGTTGGAAGGCGAAGGTCGGTTTGTGAATGATTTGATAGATTTTGAGTTTAATGGTAAAGATAACGAAGACATTGCTGTTGAAGTTTTGCCATCAGCTGAGGTAAATAGTGATTTTACGCATCCGGCTGATGGTCATGAGCGGGAAATTTTGAGCAACAGTTTGGATGCTCCATTCAGTGTTGAGCCTCAAGAGGTTGAACAGGGTTCATTTTCTGACTTTGATGTGAAGGTTTCAGACTCTAGAGATGACACCATGGGGGATCTTTTCAGCATAAGCAGTGACAATGTGGATGTGGATTCCACTACGATAGATGCCAAGAATGAGAACAATTTCGATTATGCATTCCAGGAACATAGCCCTTTTAATGTTTTTGCTCCTGACAACGTTGACAGCCCTGTGGATGTCTCCTCCTTGCCGGCTTCAAACCAGACCTCTGGGCAGGGGTCAAAAGTCCCCAGCTATCCAGAGACCCCACCTAACAGTTGCATGGAACCTTCTAACGCAGTCTTCAATAAGGAGACACAGCTGCCTAGTTTCAACAGTTCTGAGATGGTGAAGAGAATCCATGAGAAAAAGGCAGCTCTTGCCGGGCTTAGTGGCAAACAGAAGATGGGCCTGTTTGATGACGAGGGTCCCTTGGAAGGGCTTCTTCTTGGCGGTGAGAACAGCAGTGGTGGAGGGGGTTCATTGATCTCCCCAGCAGTGCCACAAAATAGTTATGTAGATATCTCCAAAGGGTTTGACTTCGAGTCTTCTGATAGCCAGTTGCCAAAACTGATGGACTCTGATATTCTGGAACGGGTTAACGAGAAAAGGTCTCAGTTTGAATGGTCTCTTGAGTCATTGGATGGATCCACCAGTGGGGTTGATATAGGGCCTGTTTCTGAGGAAGGGGAAAAGTCACCTTTCGTAACAGGCGCAACTCAAAACATCACAATTAGTGGAGGGATAGAGCCACAGGTGCCATATACACCCCAGAACAGCTACGTGGAGGAAAATTTTGACTCGTATGCCAGGACCAACCTGCCAAGTCTGAACAATGCTGAAATTGTGGCCAAAATAAAGGCCAAACAGTCAGCCATGTTTGGCAGTCATGGTTCCAGCAGGGTCAGTCGGAGCAGCCATGGGAGTGATGACAGTGGCGGCTGTCACAGCCCAGATGTTGTTGAGAAAAGTCCTCGGGGCACCAGTCTCGACAGTCCACAAGCACCATATACACCTCAGAACAGTTACCGTGATCTTGGTGTTCTTGAAACCAGAAACCATCTTCCTGACCTCAATGAGGTAGCAGAAAGACTTTCCACAGAAAACCCTTTGAAACGCCAGTTTGGCAAAAGAAGTGGTAGCAACAGCGGAGGTGGCAGTAGGGATGAAGAAAACGTCAACTTAAACATTCATCAACATAATCTTCGTCACCATGGAAGAAATTCTAGCAGCCAGTCAGACAGCCAGAACACTATGTCTGATGTTGAGTCCTTAATGAGTGTCAGTACTGACATTGGGACTCCGTCGGACAATATTGTCACTAGCGGCTTAGCCAATCAGATGAGGGGAGAGATAGCAGTACTTAGTAGGAAGGACACAGATGATTCAGATGTGTTTTCACCTAGGAGACCAGATGAAGATGCTCAAGACGTTGCAACACCAAGGGTATCCAGCATTGATCTTACATATGACGGTACAGCCAGTAATAATAATGCTGCTAGAACTGTTCCCAATGGGATTGATACAGATGCATCTGATGGTATTGTCAGAAGTGAAAGTGGAGGAGTAAAAGAACTGTTTTCTCCTTATGACAGTGAGAAGGTGCAGAGCATTGAAGATCATGCTTTGTTTCAAGTTGCTGAGAGTATTGTGGCTCAGAGTGTGGCCGCTGCTGTTGAGTTCAGTCAGAAGGAAACGCAGGAAGGGCAGGGAAGAAAAGAAAGTAGATTAAGGTGGAATGATGATGTTGAGCTAAGTAACAGTGTTAAAGAAAAGGATGTACGTCGTAGTCCGCAAATGTTTGTTGATGATTATGAGGATGATGAGGATGATAATGATGGAAGTGACATTGAGGATGACACTGTTGGAGATATTTCTGAAAATTTTCCGGAGAATGACTTGGACAAAACAGGCAATCAGAATGGGAGTATTGAAAATATAAATGAAGAGAATGCTGCCGAAGGCCTGGCTACGGGGTCATTTGAAGACCATTGTTTTGATTCTGACTTTCAAAGTCATTCAGTGCAGGAGCAGTCATACAATCAGGTTAATCAAGCAGAAGCAAAGGACAACAAGTCAGAACAGTATGCTGATGAAGACCATCAGTCTTTGGGGTCGGATGTCTTGGACAGTACAGAACAGATAAACAAATCCAAATTACCTGTAGTTTCACAGAGCATCACTGACTTGACTCTCAATGAACTGGCTTACGAATTAGCCAATGAGTTGATTCAGAGTGTGCTGGATGACTTCCCCTTTAGTGAATATTTAGCCACCATTCATGCAGAAGCTTCACCCAGAGATTTCAGACAAGAAGTAGTCAAGGATGGCAAGCCGAATATCCTAAGCCACAGAGCTCCATGGATTCCTGACTCCTCAGAGATTGACACATCTGCAAACAATGATGCTGATTTTTGGGCAGTTGAAGATGAAGCTAACACTTATGAAAATGACAATACTGCAGACTTCAGTGTTAAAGATTCTAGAACAATCCTTGAATCTAAAATATCTCAAGAGTCTTCACAAGAGGCATATTCAGCATCCTCAGCTTCTGAAAGAAAACGATTAAAAGATGCAGATCCTTCTTTGGTTATCCTGGAGAATGAAATGCTGACCACTTTTCCAGAAAGAAAGATATCCTCAGAATTCTCAGGGCTAGAAGAGGATGATGATGAAGACATCATCGAGTCATTTCCAGGGCGGAAGTTTTCCAAATCAGAAGACTACCCAAGTCGGAGATTTTCCAGGGATGAGAACTCTTCAAGGCGGTCTTCTCGTTTTGACGACTCAGAGCTAGAAGTTAACATCGGCCCTGAAGACATTGAGACTGGTTATCTGCCAAATGTGGACCCTTTTCAGGGAAATCTGGATATTTTTGAAACTTCTTTCAGCAAGATCACAGATGCAGACAGGGAAGTTGCGGAAGAGGAAAGCTTTAGAAGAGCTAGCGGTGGAGGCATTTCAGTTGATGAGGAAGAAGAGGAGACAGAAGATGGAATTAGTAATAATGAAGAAGAGAGTAGTCAAAAAATAGATGATGTGGAAAGTGTAGTTGGTGTTGAAGATGATTATGTCGGTGTGGAGCAGATTAGCTTCAGTGGCGGAGACGTTGCGAGTGAAGAAAAGCAACAAGAGGATATAACTGATGGTAATGATGAAGGGAGTAGTCAAAACATGGATGATGAGGAAAGTAATAGTGTTGATGTGAACGATGGTTATGTTGATCTTATCCATAATGATGATTTGGCTGAGGTAAGCAGATCCATTCCTGTAGTAAGGGAAGAGCTTGTGTACTGTGAGGAAGACATTTCTGGAGAATTAGATTCACAAGCTCCTGGGGATCGAACAGAGGAAGAGGCTTTTGCAGACTTTTCCAGGAAGTTTCCTGTTTTGGCCACTGAAACTTTGGGTTTGAAACAGACTGTAGATATTGCTTATCAGTTAGAAGACGAAGATTTAGATCAATTTGATGCTGATGTTATTAGTCAGAGTGAAAGACAGGCAGTAGATGTGTCAGATGAGATCTCAGTGCAGGATGATGCCACCCGGGAAAATGATTTGGCTGAGGCAAAAAGATCAGTTCCTGAAGTTAGGGAAGAGCTTGTGTCAGATGAAGAAGACGTCTCCCAAGAATTTGATTCACAATTTGTGGGGGATCAAGCAGAGGGGGAAGCTTTTGCAGACCTTTCCGGGGAGTTCCCTGCATTGGTCACTAACAGTGCAGGTGTGGAAAAGACTGTGGATTTTGCTGATAATTTAGAAGATGAAGCGATAGAAGATTTTGATAAATTTGATGCAGGAGAAACTGATGTTATTAGTCAGAGTGAAAGAGAGACAATAGATGTTTCCAATGAGGTGACAACACAGACCTTGGGAAAATATACCCTAGAGGATGATTTGGTTGAGACAAGAAGATCAGTCCCTGAAGTAAACGAGGAGCTTGTGTACAGCGAGGAAGACATTTCTGGAGAATTAGATTCACAAGATCCTGGGGATCGAGCAGAGAATGAAGAAATTTCTGGAGAATTAGATTCACAAGTTTCTGGAGATCGAACAGAGGTGGAGACTTTTGCAGACTTTTCTAGGGAATTTCCTTTATTGGTGTCAGAAAAATCGGATCTGGAAGAGGCTGTAGATATTGCTAATCAGTTAGAAGATGAAGCTGGAGATTTGGACAGATCTGATACAAAAGAAAGTGACATTATTAGTCAGAGTGAAAGAGAGACAAAAGATGTATCCAGTGTTTTGAATATTCAGGCCTTGAGGAAACATGATGAGGATTTGGCTGAGGTAAGCAGATCCATTCCTGAAGTTAGGGAAGAGCTTGTGTCAGATGAGGAGGACGTCTCTGGAGAATTTGATTCCCAATTTGTTGAGGATCAAACTGAGGGAGAAACTTTTGCAGACTTTTCCAGGGAGTTTCCTGTGTTGGCCACTGAAAATTCAGATCTGGAACAGCCTCTAGATATTGCAAATCAGTTTGAAGATGAAGCAGTAGAAGATACTGATAAATTAGATGCAGAAGACACTGATTTTATTGGTCAGAGTGAAAGACAGGCAGTAGATGTTTACAATGAGATAACAGAGCAGGCCTTGGAGAAACATGATGGTACCCAAGATGAGGATTTGGTTGAGGCAGGAAGAACCATTCCTGAAGTCAGGGAAGAGCTTGTGTCAGATGAAGAAGACATCTCTGAAGAATTTGATTCCCAATTTTTTGGGGATCAAACAGAGGGGGAGGCTTTTACAGACTTATCCAGGGAGTTCCCTACTCTGGCTACAGAAATTGCGAGTCTAAAAGAGGCTGTAGATATAGCTGATCAGTTAGAAGATAAGGCAACAGAAAAGGTTGATGGATTAGATATGGAAGAAAGAGACATTATTAGTCAAAGAGAGGCAGTAAATGTTTCCAATGAGATGACAGTGGAGGCCTTGGAGAAACATGATGGTACTCAAGATGATGATGTGGTTCAGGCAAGCCGGTCCATTCCTGAAGTCAGGGAAGAGCTTGTATCAGATGAAGAAGACATCTCCGAAGAATTTGATTCACAATTTGTTGAGGGTAATACAGAAGGAGAGGCTTTTGCTGACTTTTCCAGGGAGTTCCCTTCTCTGGCTACAGAAATTTCAGGTGTAAGAGATGCTGTAGATATTACTGATCAGTTAGAAGATAAAGCAACAGAAAATGTTGATGAATTAGATACAGAAGAAAGTGAAAGTCAGAGTGAAAGAGAGGCAGTAGATATTTCCAATGAGATGACAGGGCAGGCCTTGGGGAAACATGATGCTACCCAAGATGAGGATTTGGCTGTGGCAAGCCGATACATTCCTGAAGTTAGAGAAGAGCTTGTGTCAGATGAGGAGGACATCTCTGGAGAATTTGATTCACAGTTCGTTAGGGATCAAACCGAGGGAGAGACTTTTGCAGACTTTTCCAGGAACTTCCCTGTTTCGGCCACTGACAGTTCAGGTCTAGAAGAGGCTGTCGATTTTGCTAATCAGTTTGAAGATGAAGCAGTAGAAGATACTGATGAAGTAGATGCAGAAGACACTGCCATTATTAGTCAGAATGAAAGAGAGAAAGTAGATGTTTCCCATGAGATGACAGTTCAGGCCTTGGAGAAATATGATGCTACCAAAGATGATGATGTGGTTGACCCAAGAAGATCAGTTCCTGAAGTTAGGGAACATCTTGTGTCAGATGAAGAAGACATTTCTGGAGAATTTGATTCACAAGCTGCTGAGGATCGAACAGAAGTAGAGACTTTTGCAGACTTCTCCAGGGAGGCCCCTGTTCTGGTTACAGAAATGTCAAATCCTAAAGAGGCTGTAGATATTGCTGATCAATTAGAAGATGGAGCAGTTGAAGATTTTGATGAATTGGGTAAAGAAGAAAGTGAAATTGTTAGTCAGAGTGAAAGAGTGGCAGTAGATGTTTCCAATGAGATTAAAATGCAGGAATTGGAAAAGCGTGAGGCGGACTTTTTTGAGACTGGAGACGCTGAAGTTGAGGATGCAGAAACATCCAAAGTATTAGATGAACAGGTTGCAGAAAATGAGTTGGACATCCAGACAGAAACCTCTGATTTATCAGAAGCTCAGACAGTGACAGCCTTCAGTGAATTAGAACAAACTGCAGACACCAGACATAAATTTGATGTGGACATTTCAGAAGCTACCAGAGAGTTAGAAGTGCAAGCATTTGTCGATGATAAAATAACCACAGAAGAGGCCAGTGTTTTAGAAGTTGTTCAAGTACCGAAACAGAAGAAAAAGATTCGTGTCAGTTTCTCAGAGGATTTTGATGATGAAATCGGGGACTTTAACATATCATCAAGTTCAAGGTCTTCCCTGAAATCACCACCACCACTGCCTTCATCTGGAGATTCCGAATCACCGTCACCTTCTCCTTCCCCTGAAGACGTTAATGATGCCTCAGCTGATGAAGAAGATGGGATTTCACCTCTATCTGCTGCCCCCTCTACTAACTGGGCACTGCAGGAGCAAGCACAACGGAAGGAGGTATACCACACGAGTGCTGGCCGCATGAGCATTAGTGTAGGAGAGGAAGAGGACAATAGCATGACGTTAAACAATGAAATCTCACCCAGTGTCGCATCTTTTACCGATGAGATAATCATGAAAGCCAGAGCGCAGGTGGGGGAGCTGATTGTTTCCGCTAAAGGCACTATTTCTGAGGCAGATGACCAACTTGCGGATGCTTCCTTGCATGCTTCCGATGCTGCTGTGCTTCATTCCTCTGATATCTCCCAGCCAGAACTCTCCTCTGATGTCTCACGGCCAGATTTCTCCTCTGGCACCTTGCACTCAGCGCATGATACTGCAATAATGTCTGAAGAGGAATCTAATAATGCCTTTAATATTGTGACCTCTGACTTTGCAACCTTTGACTCCACTAACCCTGACCTAAGTGCTGTTAATTCTTATCCTTTGAATGAAGCCAGAGTAAAGTCCCTTGCAGACAGCCGTAACCTTGAACTAACAGAGACTTCTGGTGTAACCTCTGAACCTTTGACATTAAATGAGCCGGAGCCTCTCCCGGCTGTTCTTGCAGTGAGCTCGTTTGAGGATGCACCATTTGATTCCCTGGCTAGTCTGCCTACTCATGTTCGAACCCTTTCTGGTGCTTCGACAGGCTCATTTCAGGTTTGTTGCATTCAGACAAGTTAAGGCGCTTATGTTTAGATTAGCTGATAGCTTTAGGCACATATGTTTAGACTAGCTTACCAGGTTTGGGTCACATAGGTTTATGGTCATATGCTATCAGGCTTACTTACATACATTTAAGCCAACTGATAGGTTTAGATGAGGACTATTCAACTCAGGGTCCAACATGTTGAAAATGGGGATTGTCATGGGCCTGAGGCCCGGCTTAGACAAACATTAATACAATATAGTTTGCACTGATCCACCGTCCACTTTCGAGGTCTCTGTAGGTCAGATTCGGCCCGTGGCCGGCCAGTTTGAATAGCCCTAGTTTAGACAGATATTTTTGGACCAACTGATATGTATGGCTGGATGTGTTTAGACAAGATGAGAGGTTTCACCTCATAGGTTTTTACTGATAGATTTGGATGGATATCTAGCAGAGAGGTTTAAGCACATAGGTTTTGTTAATAGATTTGCATGTAGATTAGCTGAGAGGTTAGGCTCATAGATTTATACTTAATGATTTGTATGGATAGGTTTAGACTAGCTGAGAGGTTACACCTCATAGGTTTTTACTTCTAGATTTGGATGGATATGTTTAGACTAGCTGAGAGGTTTAGGCTCATAGGTTGTTACTGATAGATTTGAATGGATATGTTTAGTAGGTGCTAATTAACAACAAACATGGTTGCTTGTTTATTGGACATGCATGTGCCATATATTAATATTTGGACTTCTTACAACCCAGTGTTTTCTGTGTCTGCTTGTCTGTCTGTCTCCTACCTAACCACATGTCTGTTTAAAAAAAATATATATATATATGCCTACCTGCCTACAACTAACCTAACTACCAACAAACCTGACTGTCTGCCTGCCTACCTATCGGTTATATACCTACCATGTTACCTACCTACCTGTCTATCTATCTGTCTATATATATATATATATATATATATATATATATATATATATATATATATATATATATATATATATATATATATATATATATATATATATATATCATATACATGTTTAATCTGTATGTCTAATCTTAGTGTGAGAGGAAGTCACAAATGGTCTAACCATGCATCTGTATGTCTTATCTGTGTAGCTATATGTCTGTCTTTCTAATCTGTCTGCCTCATCTGTGTATAAATCTGTCTGACTCCATCTATCCATCCAACTACCTAGCTGTCATCTACCTACCTTCTCACCTACCTACCTATCTATCTATCTATATATCTGTCTGTCTAATCTTAGTATGAGGGTAAGTCACAAATGGTTGTTTAAAAAAACACTAAAGATGATAACAACTTGAACACCATTTATGTTTACATAAACACTGTCCCTTTAATTTTCAACTTAATTTTCACCAACATTAATGCACGTCCTATTGTTTGATCAGTCCCCCCAAACCTGCTGCATAGAACTGCATGCTCTGTTTTCTAAACCACATTTTCACTTCACATTCAACTTCTGTGTCATCTGTGAAATGTCTCCTTCCAAGTTGGGTTTTCAGTAGACTAAAAAGGTGGAAATTGCTAGGGGCTAAGTGGGGGTGTAAAGTGGATGTTCCAGAAGTTCCCACCCTAGATGGTTAATTTTCTCCTGAGTTAACCGAGTCATAAGTGGTCTGGCATTGTCGTAAAGGAGCAGTACTCCTCTTGTCAGCAGGCAGGGATGTGTTCTTCAAATTGCATCATAAAGCATTGATAGAACTTTACAGTATGAATTAGCATTCACATTGTCATATCTTTTTTTTTTTTTAAATTGGTTAAAAGCACCCTTTGACAATTCCGGAACACTCCACCTTTTTTATTTGTTGCCTTTTATGGCATGCTTGCTGGTGGCAGTGGGTCTCATATTTTTTCCTCAAAATGGGGCCCTGGAACCCACATGGGCTGCTGTGGTAGTAACTGGTGCAATTTGTGCACTTCAACATTGCAATAACACTATGTATTTAACAAATTCATGGCAGTAACTGGTGCAATTTGTGCACTTCAACATTGCAATAACACTATTTATGTATTTAACAAATTCATGGCAGTAACTGGTGCTATTAGTGCATGTTAGCATCGCAGTGACATTATTTACTAGTGCCATTGGTGCATTTAAACTTTGCTGTGTAGTAAACAGATGCATGGCAGTTACTTGCGCTGTTTTTCTCAACATAGCCAAGGAATATCTGACCAGTGATGTTTTATATCACATCATACTTACGGCTGTAACCAGTGTTTTGTATCACATCGTACTTATGGCTGTAACTAGTTGTGTTTTGTATCACATCATACATTTGACTGTAACCAGTGATGTTTTATATCACATCGTACTTATGGCTGTAACTAGTTGTGTTTTGTATCACATCATACATTTGACTGTAACCAGTGATGTTTTATATCACATCGTACTTATGGCTGTAACCAGTGTTGTATTTTATCACATCATACTTATGGCTGTAACCAGTTCTGTTTTGTATCGCACCATACTTATGACTGTAACCAGGGATGTTTTGTATCACATCATACTTATGGCTGTAACGAGTTTTGTTTTGTATCACATTATACCTATGGCTGTAACCAGTTCTGTTTTGTATCACATCATACTTATGGCTGTAACGAGTTTTGTTTTGTATCACATTATACTTATGGCTGTAACCAGTGCTGTTTTGTATCACATCATACTTATGGCTGTAACCAGGGATGTTTTGTATCACATTATACTTATGGCTGTAACCAGTGCTGTTTTGTATCACATCATACTTATGGCTGTAACGAGTTTTGTTTTGTATCACATTATACTTATGGCTGTAACCAGTGCTGTTTTGTATCACATCATACTTATGGCTGTAACGAGTTTTGTTTTGTATCACATTATACTTATGGCTGTAACCAGTGCTGTTTTGTATCACATCATACTTATGGCTGTAACGAGTTTTGTTTTGTATCACATTATACCTATGGCTGTAACCAGTGATGTTCACTTATCTCAGCGTAGCATGGCATTAAGTCGTGCTTTTTATGTATCTCAGCATAACCATTCCAAAACCAGTGCTGTTTCTGTATCGCCATATAACTGTTCATAACCGGTGCTGTTTCTGTATCGCCATATAACTGTTCATAACCGGTGCTGTTTCTGTATCAGGTTGTAACTGTCCATAATCATTCCTGTTTCTACATCTCCACATAGCTGTCAGTAAACAGTGCTGTTTGTGTATACCAGCATAACTGTCAGTGATTGGTGCTGTTTATGTATCTCAACAAAGTTTCACATGGCCTTCAATAACCGGTACTGTTTGTCTATCTCAGGGTGCGGTTTACAGCGAGGAGTGGCAGGATGATGAGATTTTACAGGTGGCTGAACAGTCAGGGCTAGGTAAGTTATCATCTCTCATTGTCTTTCACTGTTTCTTTGTTTGTAAAAC